TATATATATCGTCACAAACAGAACTGCCCGGTAAAACCGTAGGCAGAGAGAGAGAAGAGGACAACAAACGAGGGGCTGTGACAAACTGTTTCGTCGGAGTTTCACCGACTCATCAGGAGGTATATATATATATATATATATATATCATATCTGATCCTCTCCCTGTCGATCTCTCTTGTATGTGAGTTCCTCCACTCCTGAAATTTTTTCTTGCATGTTGACAAATTGGATGACATCCTAGACTACTGCAATCCGTGCATGACCTCATGTTGCCATGATGTCAGTCTCATGTGAGAAGCAAGCTGATATTGATCTTCTTAGAGTCTTTCCTCCCGTGTCAAGTGATAGACCCGAGCTTTGCTCTTCCACTGTGCTTGTACGTTCATTGTGTAATTGTTCCGCTGTTACTTACTATTTTTGGTTCTAATTTCTAAATCATTATTGTAGTTGGGACTCGGGAGCGTTCTTAGGTGAGCTGGACCTGAGTTCGAATCCCTTGACGAACAGAACGAAACAAGTCCAAAAAACAACGGGGATCATTAAAAAAATGGCTTTGTAGGCATCCAAGGTAGGGGGCAACTATGTTGCAAGAGCAGATATGGGATAGGGTGAATAGTAGAATACATACCAAGGAAGGACAGGCTGGACTGTACAAAGGCAGGTTCAGATTCTTCAGAATAATAGAATGCTTAAGAGAGGGGGGGAAGAGGGGGGGAAGAGGGGGGGAAGAGTGGGGTAAGAGAGGGGGAAGAGGATTGGGTTGACAAGGTGAAGGGTCACATGGGACTTGGATATGACTTAGGGTGACAAATAAATAGCTGAAGACTGGTTGGTGCGACCTCAGGGACTGCCCTGAACATCCCCCGCGCGCTGCGCCCCCTCCGGGGGGTACCCCTACTCTGTGCCTGGGTGCTGATAGTAAGCTTCCCGACCAGTAGGATAATCCAATGAGGAGGGGCGGCAACAGTTTGGGGGTGGGGTGTTCAGAAGTAGCCCCCCCTTGCTTAGGCGGCTGGTGCTCCCCAACCATCTTCTGTGTGAACATGCTTGCCGGTGATAAGCAACCGGACTGATGCCCCCCCCCCAAATAGAGGGGGGCTTTGTTGTTTTAAAAAAATAAAAAAGGTTTCAGGATGTTACTGACTTTAAGAGATAGGAATGGAAAACAAAAAGACCTTTCTGCTCATCTTCACACATCTCCCACGACCTTCATGAGCAATCCTACTACCCCCCATTATCCCCAAGGGGACCATTGCAAAAACAAGCGCAAAAAATTAATAAATTATCCCTGGATTCCCACACTCGAGTGCCAGGCTTACAATCCAGATAATCTGGGTCTCGCCATCCAGATAGGGATCCAGATCTTTCAACACCTGCCTGATGGTCAGCACGGCTGGCTTATTCCTAACATAAGGGCATCACTACCCTCTTCCCCCCAGCACAAGGCACCCTCATCATGACTGTATTGGACCGCAAAGATCACATGTTTACACTCACGATCGGTCTTCGGGGGAAGACGGTAGCAAACCTATCAATGACAAGTTAAATAAGCGTTGAAGGCCAAAACACGTCCAGCTTATGTGCACAACAGGTTTTGACAGGCCGGGCAACAGAAACAGGCAAATTGCAGTCAAGATTGCAAGAATACCAGCAAGTGCATTCTGATGCGTGGATGCTTGCTTAAGACTTCATGAGGAGAGCTACCTGCAAAAGTAAAAACCTCCAACCAGAGACAGGAGGACAAAGTGCACATGTTTGGAGCGTCGTAAGTAAGACGAATTGACGCCATCCATTTTTATTTATTTATTTATTTATTTTATTTTATTTTTTAACGAATTGACGCCGTCCATTTGCAGCTTCTCTAGTCCATTAAACTTGATTAAAGTGAATAAAAAATGGGTCTGTTGGTACACCCATGAACTGTTGAAATACAGACCCAAGTTCGAATCCAGATACGATCAGATGACCAACCAGAGTATAGTAATTCTGAATTACCAGGGGCCGGTCAGTTCAATGATGATATCTCAAGGCCGTCGCCTTTTTTGGGGAAAAAAAAAAAAAAGATGGGTCTGTTGTATCGGTGACGCTGTTTTCGTTTTGTTTTTTTTACTAGCGACCCTGTGAGTTTGAGTCCTGAACGATAGGCAAATGTAGCTGTCGATAAACAGGTTATGAGTTCAAAATTCAAATCCTGAGCACTACACACATGTAGCAGTTGATATAAGCAAGATCGGTCATGAGTTTAACTCCCTGAGTAATACGCACATCTAGATGTTCATAGACAGGTCATGAGTTCAAGTCCTGAGTAATCCGCACATGTAGATGTTCATAGACAGGTCATGAGTCGAATCCCTGAGCCATACACACATCTGGCTGCTGATAAACAGGTCATGAGATCAAGTAATGAATGGTGCGCACATGTGGCTGTTGATATTACTCGATAAACAGGACACATGGGTTCAAATATTCTGCGATAATAAAGTCATTCCGTTATTAAGGTATTGCCGATATTGATAGCTCGCTTCTCTCTGTGACCCCCTCGATCCCTCCTCACCTCCTTCCCTCCTTTCTTGCAGCATCATAGCTGTCGCTGCCCTTCACACGCAGCAATAATAGATTGTCCATGTACTGCGCTACCATAACAACAAGAGAGCATTCAGTCCTCTTGACCACGCCCACCCACACAACTTAAGCTTCTTCGAGACGATGCTGACCACCTCGACACATGGCAAGAGCAGATGTAATGGCCTCTTTCTTTTTTGTCAGCAAGTAGACATTGGACGAATCCTTTTTCCTTTCTCTGACTGGATCGGGGCAGGTAAGTGCAGAGTGAGCGAGAGAGAAAGAGAGAGAGGTATGCTCACTTCTGCCCCCTTCATTGTACTTCATCCATACACCATCACTCTCTCTCTCTCTCTCTCTCTCTCTCTCTCTCTCTCTCTCTCTCTCTCTCTCTCTCTCTCTCTCTCTCTCNTGTGTACTCTATTACACAGAGAGTGGCACACATTTGTAATAGAGTACACACACACACACACACACACACACACACACACACACACACACACACACACACACACACACACATGGTTTCCTGACTATTTCGCGTGGCAACCATTTGTAATACCATACTAATCTAATAAGAATCAGAAAAAGAATCAGCAAGCATTTTGAATGTTGGTTGCAGTTAATGGAAAGCGTACCTCCATACGCCACAATATCCACATGCAGATTTGCCTGCAAGCCCATGACCAAACCAGCAGAATGTATAGTTAGGATAACACTGCCAAGAAGCACTATGTCTCAGCCAGTGAACTCTGCGACCAAGATACACTATTTAGCAGCAGGGGAAGAGTGGCACACTCATTGTGGGATCAGCAGGCAGCCTATGAGAGAGGAGGTCACGGATGAGGAACTGGACCAAGACAAGAGAGCAAACCAAGGCCGGCATCAGGAACAGGACAGTTACCAAGATGAGCCCAAGGAGCGGAACCCGGAACAAAACACGGAATTAAACGACGACCACATTAGGAACAGGACAACGGTCAAAATGAGCTCAAAGAATGAGCAAGGACCAGGGAAGGTCCCAGCCAAAAAAAAAAAAAAAAAAAAAAAAAAACGAAAACAAAGTTAAAGAAGTTAAGAAAAACTATGTTATGCAGAAAAATAAAGTGAACAACTTTTGCCTCAGGGTCACATCGAAATTCATTATCAGGTAAGAGAGAAGAACTTAGGGTAGGTGAAATATACAACTGTCCCCCATATGAGGAGAAGACAGCCGTGTTTTTTTTTTTTTTTTAATGAATCAAAAAATTACAAAAGTTGAAAAGTCAAAAATATTTTTATTTTTATTTTTTTTTCTTTTTTCTTTTTGGCCTGACCAGGCGAGTGGTCCCGGGCCACTCTGGTAGAGCAGTGTCTTGCAATTTTGAATTTACTAAGCCCTTTTTTATTACCAAAAAAGTTGAAAAACCCTACGGTTTTTTTTTAACTTTCATGTGATCGCCGCAAGGATGTTCTTTTTTTTTATCTATGGCCTCCAAAGGGTGGTTCTAGGGAATGGAGTTGCCCGCTTGCGCTAATTGCTTCTCAGTACGCCTTCACTGTTTCTTTTTCTTCTTCCTTTTTTTTTTTTTTTTTTTTTTTTTTTCCCAAACAGAGGCCCCATCACTGTTTCACATGATTGAATACTGCGAGTCAAAAATGCTCAGAAATTCAGGATGGCAAAGATCTGGCCGCCGGTTGTCGGTGTCAGTTGACACAGAGAGTCTACCAATCCCAAGGTGGAATGGCTGAAATTGGCTGCGCAAAAGAGATTCATCGCTTCATCGTGGTATCTCTGACGAAATCATTCACTTATTCATGCTTATGATACGAGAGACAAGAATTGTATTATCTCGCTTTGAGTGCTGTAGGTCATACTCAATTACTCATACTACGGTAGCACTTCTCCGCACTGCATCTGTGATTGCCGTCAGAGATCTCCGAACATCCTGGTGTGACTACGCCCTTAGCGATCCTCACTGGGTTACACTGAAACCCATGATGAGGCTACTCTGAGAAGTTGAAGTTCACCCGTGAGGATGAAGCGGATTTGGAGCTTGGACGATGTGCAAGACGAGACGCTGGTGGCGCGAGCGGGGCATGGCAAGGATGCTACCTGGGCTTCTTTTTCAGCAGGTTTATGACCACCCCTCTAACTGAGTTGCAAACAAATGTGGAAACAACTCATGAGATGTTGAAATTCAGTCCACATATCAGTGGACTGGAGCAAGTCAGCACTCGCCATCTAGGATAGGTCACCACAATTGAGAGATTGAACTCTCTCTCTCTCTCTCTCTCTCTCTCTCTCTCTCTCTCTCTCTCTCTCTCTCTCTCTCTCTCTCTCTCTCTCTCTCTCTCTCTGTCTCTGTGACCCTTTCCCTCTCTTCCTCCCTCTCCCTCTCTCCCTCAATCTAGGCTCTGAAGGCAAGGAGAGACCACAGTAGAGGTAGAAGAGGAAGGAGGAGGAGGGGACCAACAAGATAGACTTACCTTTGGCTATGGTGGACCTTCATCTCCAATCCCTTGGCTGGCGTGGCGTCTGGATGGCCCTTGTTGAGGTGCCGATTGGACATCCGAGTGTGACTACGGGAGAAGCACAGTAGTAGTTGCGTTGTCCTTTGAACATCCGTGCATGGATTACTTTGACATTGATTCCTGTTCACTCGTTCATATATCACCGTAATTTAATTGTTCATAAGAGGAGAGAGAAGATGATATGAGGAAGATGATGCTGGCGAGAGGAGGACAAAATGTCATTTTCTTCTTCTTCTTCTTCTTCTTCTTCTTCTTCTTCTTCTTCTTCTTCGTCTTCTTCTTCGTCTTCTCCTTCTCCTTCTCCTTCTCCTCCTCCTTCTCCTCCTCCTTCTCCTCCTCCTTCTTCTTCTTCTTCTTCTTCTTCTTCTTCTTCTTCTTCTTCTTCTCCTCCTCCATCTCCTTCTTCTCCTTCTTCTTCTTCCCCTTCTTCTTCCCCTTCTTCTTCTTCTTCTTCTTCTTCTTCTTCTTCTTCTTCTTCTTCTTCCCCTTCTTCTTCTTCTTCTTCTTCTTCTTCTTCTCCTTCTCCTTCTTCTTCCTCCTCCTTTTCTTCTTCTTCTTCTTCTTCTTCTTCTTCTTCTTCTCCTTCTTCTTCTTCTTCTTCTTCTTCTTCTTCCCCTTCTTCTTCTTCTTCTTC